GCGGAAGGTTCCGCAGTCAATCAATGACGGAATAAAGAAATACAAAACCAATGGTTGACTGCGGAAGGTTCCGCAGTCAATCAATTAGGATTAGTAAAGGCTGTGATACTGAAAGCGGTAAAAGGAATTAGGGAAACAATATTAATACTAGAAACTTGCAATGGCTGAAGCCATTGCGATTGACTGCGGAACAGATCTAATGTGGAAATCTGCTAAAAAAAATCCTTGAAATCCTTTAAAAAGCCTTGAAACTGTTAAAATACTTGATAGATATTTGAAACTCCTGAAGTCCTTGAAATTGTTGAAACCTTTAAACTCCTGAAATCCTTGAAACTGTTGAAACATTGAAACTCCTGAAATCCTTGAAACTTTTTTAAACCTGGAAACTGTTGAAAGTGTGGAAACTCCTGAAATCCTTGAACCTCCTGATATCCTTGAAACTGGTTAAATTCTTAAACAGCTGAAATCCTTGAAACTACTGAATGTATTGAAAGTGTCCTTGAAACTGAAAAATCCCCTCACCGCTGAAACAATTTGGTTCCTGTAACTAAGGAAACCTGGTCTGTGGTCATTATCTGGTGGTGGTCTGAGTCTTCGTTTGGGTCTTGGTCTGGTGGTATAATGCAACCTATTAGGTTGCATTATACATGAAAAAACCCTATTAAGTTGCATTATACTGGTTTACATGGAAAAATCCCTATTAAGTTGCATAATACTGGTTTACATGGAAAAATCCCCATTAAGTTGCATTATACTGGTTTACATGGAAAAATCCCTATTAAGTTGCATTATACTGGTTTACATGGAAAAATCCCTATTAAGTTGCATAATACTGGTTTACATGGAAAAATCCCCATTAAGTTGCATTATACTGGTTTACATGGAAAAATCCCCATTAAGTTGCATTATACTGGTTTACATGGAAAAATCCCTATTAAGTTGCATTGTACTGGTTTACATGGAAAAAACCCTATTAAGTTGCATTATACTGGTTTACATGGAAAAAACCCTATTAAGTTGCATTATACTGGTTTACATGTAAAAACCCCTATTAAGTTGCATTATACTGGTTTACATGGAAAAATCCCATTAAGTTGCATTATACTGGTTTACATGAAAAAAAACCCTATTAAGTTGCATTATACTGGTTTACATGAAAAAACCCTATTAAGTTGCATTATACTGGTTTACATGTAAAAACCCCTATTAAGTTGCATTATACTGGTTTACATGGAAAAATCCCTATTAGGTTGCATGATTACACTGAAGTCCTTGAAACTGCTGAAGTCCTTGAAACTGCTGAAGTCCTTGAAACTGTTGAAGTCCTTGAAACTCTTGAAATCTTGAAACTGCTGAAATCCTTGAAACTGTTGAATCCTTGAAACTGTTGAATCATTGAAACTGTAGAAATGTCTGAAAGAGCTGAAGTCCTATTAAAATGCATGGGCCTATTAAAATGCATTGCAGAATTCTCAATGCAGATTTTTGTCCGATTGCGGAAAAACCGGAAATCGCTGAAGTCCCAAAAGTAATAGCAATAATCTCCCAAACATGTGGAACGTTTTGATGTATAACTTGTGGAAATTGTTGAAAATGTGAAAGCTGTGAAACGTGTCAAAAAAAATGACGGAATAAAGAAATACAAAACCAATGGTTGACTGCGGAAGGTTCCGCAGTCAATCAATGAACATATTAGACATACACTGTGCATAAACTAAGCTGTAGCAACCACATCATTTAAGTTAATTTAGGATGATAAATAGAGGGGGGAGTTTAAAAGTCTTAACTTCTTTCCACTCTTTTTTGAGCTGGATTGTTGTTAATAAAACAAAACTGTACATCTGTACTTTTTCTATTCTGTTGTTGTTTTGTTTGTTGCTGTCCTTTTTTCTTGTTTGCCATGGCTTGAAATAAAGTATTCATTCATTCATTTATACTGAATGTGTAAAAACGTAGGCCCACTTGCACACTATTAACACAATAATGTTATATTTACTTGCTTTTATTAATTACCATGCTGGTCATTTTTTCTCTTTTAACTTTTAACATTTCTACTCACTTAACAAGGGTAAAATGGATGAGGTGTTTTTTCTGACCAGCCGATAAGAAGCTGGTCACATAATTGACTTTTAAATATACCACAAACACAATTCCTGCACGACTCAATCTGCAGCGTTTCACTGATTCACTGTAATCCAGTGAATAGAATATTTCTCCTGCCTCTACTGCCACCATTTTGTGCTCTTAGGGAACTTTTAAGTTCAAATTCAGATTCAGTTTATTTGCCATTTGCAGTAAAAAAAACCACATTGGAATACATTAGCAAAAAGTCTCCAGTGTGCACAGACAAATACAGACATAAAACAACATTAAAAGACAAAAATAAAACAAATAAAACAGTCAACAAATGTCACTGTGAAATTGATCGACTAAAACAGTTTCAAAACAAGTTCAAATCATTAAAGTGCTCTGTTCACACTGATAACAGCTTGTGGATAAAAACTGTTAGCATAACGAGATGTCCTGCATCTCAGAGAGCGATATCTTCTGCCAGAGGGAAGAAGCTGGAACATGGCTTTCCCAGGGTGGCCAGAAGAGTCATTAACAATCCTAAGAGCTTTGTTTAAAAGTCTGGATTTATAAAGAACCTCCAGAACAGGAAGCTCACAGCCCACGGTCCTCTTTGCAGAGCGGAGCACCTTGTTTAAAGCTCTCTTTTCTTTATCTGTGATGTTTCCAAACCACACAGACACAGAACCAACAAGTAAACTCTCAATGGTGCAGCGATAAAAGTTAAGCACAATCTTAGAGTTATTATTGGAAAATTCTCTAAGTTTACGCAGAAAGTAGAGACGCTGACGAGCTTTCTTAACGACTCGGTCAGTGTTTTTAACCCATTTCAGGTTAGACAGAGTTAGACCCAGAAACTTGCACTCCTCTACGATCTGCACCCGGGAGTTGTCGATTACGACAGGCAAATGAGAACTGTTGCGACTGAAGTCGTAGACCAGTTCACATGTTTTGGATGCGTTCAGCTGGAGGTTGTTAGTTTGACTCCACTGAACCACATTTTGTATCTCTGCTCTATAAGAGGATTCATCATCGTCACTGATGAGACCGATGATGATGGTGTCATCAGCATATTTAATGATCAAGTTTGAGTCAGAGGAGGACACACAATTGTGAGTGTACAAAGTAAAAAGCAAAGGACTCAAAATACATCCCTGAGGAGAACCAGTGCTCACAGAAACAACATCAGAAAAACAGTCATTGCTAAAAGTCCTCCTCTCAACTCTTAAGAGATCTCACCTTAGGAGCACTCTTAAGAGCTAGGATTCTTTAGGAATAGCTTTTTTCTTAGAGTGATTGTCTGGAGTTTGTCAGAAAGAGAGACAGAGAGGTGCTTGATTTGAAAAAAACGACACAAGCTCCTCCCCCTTCCTTTCTGATTGGTCTACACCTACGTTTCCGTAACACATTTAAATGTTAATCAGAGAACACTTTATACATATACATTATTAATACACATGCCCAGGTTTTCAGAGTTATATGTTAACGTTTTAATGAAAAAAATTATGTTTTTATGCACAAAAAAAGCGATCGCAGAAAACCCGGAACAAGCTATTATCATGAATTGAACATTATAGGAACATCTGCAGAGGATCTGATTATGAATATAGGTTCAGTATATACATGATTATGGATATAGGTTCAGTATATAAATGATTATGGATATAGGTTCAGTATATAAATGGGTCACTCAGCGCGGATGTTCAGAATTCTTTGTTCAGTTTTCATGTAGTTCCAGAGCCTAATAGAGGCTTGATTCGGAGGCTCCGTAAAAACAAACAACTGAGCATGCGTGAAGCTAAGAGCATCAGCGCCGATGATTGACAGCCCTTGGCATGACTCGATTGGTTAACGTGGACGGCATCGTGGATTCTGAGCTATAGCTAAGAGAAGGGAAGGCGGGACTTCTCTGTAATATTAGAATTTAAAAAATTACTTATTTCACATCAACATTTAAGGCCAGGAGGTCAATTTAACACATTTCCTAAAATGTGTAATTCATTTAGAGTTACAGACTATCACTTTAACTAGGATCTACTCACCACTTTTAGGGGAAATTCTAAGAGTAGGTCAAGATTCTAAGAAAATTCTTAGAAGCCACTAGGAGCAACTTTTAGCACTAAGAATCTTTAGGAACCGGCCCCTGGTCTAAATCTCTAAAACTATTGAGAAAAATAATACACTTTTAGCACTAAGAATCTTTAGGAATACGGCCCCAGGTCTAAATCTCTAAAACTATTGAGAAAAATAATAATATATAGGTTGGATCAAATTGACAACCAATGATAACAAAGACTTCCCAGTTTATAAACGTAATCTTGTAAGTTTTCTAGAAATATATAATCACACCTCTTGAGACTGGCCTATTCACTATGACCCTACATTTCACTGTCCATTTTTAACTGTTTTTGCTTTTAACTTTGTACTTTTTACAACACAACCTTGAGTGCCAAGAAAGCCATACAGTATATACAAAACATGTATTATGATTATTATTATCATTATTACACATCATTTTCAACAGTCTCTCACACAACCATGTTTAAGGTGCACCTCACAACACAGAAAAAGCACAGATTTGCAAAAAGCCTCTCTCTCAATGGCCCTCTCATATCATTTCACCAAAACAGGGCTCAGTTTTGCCACTTGACACATGCTGCATTTGTGTTGGTTTCTCGTTAAAGAGAGAAACAATAACAGTATTCATAAGTTAGCGTGCCCGCACAAAGCAGACCATTGAAATCTGGATCTCATTGAGCAGCGAGAGAGTGCCTCATGTTTGGGCTATGACCTTCGAGGGCGGAGACAAACACTTCCTCCTTATGGTGAGTATAAGCGGCCAGGGAATAGCCAGAGCCGCCTGTTATGAGAGGAGGGGGGGGGGGGGGGGGGGTTCTGGGCTGGGGTAGTGGGGTGGGGGGGCTTTTTCCTCCATACAAATCGGGTGGCACACGGCAAAATAAGCAGACACTGTGCTTACTTCAAATCTGGCAACACTTGACAAGGCCACCCAGTCTGCACATATACACAGGAGAGACATGCTTTGTATAATGGGAGCTTATAGAGCAGGCATGGGGCAAAGTCAGGCCCGTGGGCCAAATCCGGCCCGCAAGACAAATTTTGGCGGCCCCTTAAATGATTTCCAACTATTATTATAATCTTGCAGAATTGATGGTTATGGACTACCAAGGAATTTACACAGTAGGCGTAAACAGCGCGTACGCGTTTACCGCGCGCTCTCTGCGCGTAACTTTTTTTGGAGTATCTACACTGACCGTGCGCCCAGGTCCGCGTCTTCTGAGGCTCTCTCTGTGTAGTCTATGGAGCATTGTAGAGGACAGTACGGGCCAGAGGACTGATGTAGAGCAACACAAATCACATGCATGTGTTTGTTCTCATGGTCTCTGTGCGCTGGTTTGGCCAGACGCCAGACTTTATGAAAGAAAAAAAACTATGTCCGGAATCACTGTAAAACCTGCTGCTCCTCCTGCTGATGTTTAGACACAAGTGCTGTGTGTGTGCAGATGCGATCTAGAGCCAAGGACCACTAGAAAAATCATGTTTTACATGAGATTTCAATGGGAGACGCGTTGGTGCACAAAATTAGAAATCCATCCTAAATTAGAGCGCAGCTTTGCGTCATACATCCGTCATACGCGCGTATAACGCTAGAAGTGTAAATATCATCATAAATTTACATGGAAAAAGTTACGCGCGTCTGCTGCGCGTATAACGCGTACGTGCTGTAACGCGTGATGTGTAAATTAGCAGTACCAAGGCTTTTTATACATCATCATCTATCTTCTCAGGAAAACATGCTAAATTCAGTTATTCTAAAGCTTTGACCCAACACATCATAAGAAGTTAAATAGTTAAATAGAAAACAATGTATTTAACTTTATATTTGGTCCAGTTTTGGTTAAATCTAAACAAAGTGAAACTCATGTCCCATAAAAGTCATGTCAAAATAGCATCAAAATATAAAATGCAGTTATAAGAAAAGGAAATTCCCTTTATTATTTCAGCCCCAGACCAATTCCTATTTTTTTATTCGGCTCCCGACTAAAATTAGTTTGACACCCTTGTAAAACGTAGCAAATGTTTGAGAAATCAGTTTGTAAAAAGCTGATTTCTTGTGTTGTCAGTGAATTGTGTGTGAAAGAGGGAACGTGTTGAACTGCTTTCTGTGTATGCAAACTTCCACTGTTCAGCCAAGCAGTTAATTCTAGATAATGAGGCGTGAGGAGCAACAGCGGCTGCAATACGAGCTCAGAAACGTTGAGGATGTTTGAAATATCTCAGATGGACGTCCAAAACAACAAGAAGAATTTCGAAAGTCGGTTTCAGTGATGAATCTAAATTATTCGCGATTATTTTATTTCAATGTATTTTTGTGTATAGCCCTGAATCGCAACAGCAGTCGTCTCGGAGGACTTTACAAAGTTGTCGATTCCTTAACAACTGATCAGAAAGAGTTTGAAGAGGCGAATAGTCGATTTGTTTCAGTGAGAAGTAAGAATGGATTCACTGCAACAATAATAACACACAAAAAGGTCCATATATCACAAAAACATTAGCTCTGATAATGGGGCGACAGTGGCTCAGTTGGTAGATCATTGGCCTTTGAGCCTGAGGGTCGTGGGTTCGAGTCCACCACAAGACTTTCATCATTGACCCCCACTGATGTCTGCTGTCGTTGTGTCCTTGGCAAGACACTTAACCTCTGGGAACACCAGCCACAGTGGGGCGGCTGTGGCTGTAAAGTGCCAAACTGCCGTTGTGTCCTTAGGCAAGAGACTTCACCACTTCACCTTCACCTCAAGACACTTGCCTAGAATTAATCTGGTGTGTGTGTGTGTGTGTGTGAATGGTTGGTGGTGGTCGGAGGGGCCGATGGCACATACTGGTTGCCTAGCTTTTGTCAGTGTGCCCCAGGGCAGCTGTGGCTACAGTTTATCACCACCAGTGAATGAATAATGACATGAGAAGCCTCTTTGAGTGTCCAAAAAAAAGCCATATAAAACCTATGCATTATTATGATTATAAGGCTAAAGATAGTTCTTAAACTCGCAAAAAGGGGAGTGGCCTCCTCCTGGTGCCCAGGGTCAAACATGGGGAGGCAGCGTTTCCAATTTATGCAGCTAAAATCTCACTCCCACTGATGTCTGCTGTCATTGTGTCCTTGGGCAAGACACTTAACCCCACTTTGCCTGAAGCCCCCACTGAAAGATCAGTGAGGGGCTGGTGCTCTGTGTACTGGGTGCAGCTCTGACTGCCACCCCCCGGACCCAGAAATGGATTGAGGGGAAGAATATGGATGAATGTTTCTAGCTTGTTTTGTAAAGCACTTTGAGTTGGCTTGTTTATCAACTGTGCTATACAAATAAACTTGCCTCAAAAATATTAATTGCGGTTAAAAGTGTCTCAAACCAAGATATGTCATCCTTACTTCATGCATGTATTCTAATTCCTTGCTGTTATATTCATTGCAAAGGACCTAATTTCAGTCTTTGAGATTTTCTAATTTTATAAATTATAAATATGTTATATGTGATTTCAGTCTGTACCATAATATCATCCACAAAGTTAAAGCTCAAAACCAAAACATGTGGTTACAGTTCACCTCAAATCAGACATTTAACATAATGACATATTTAGTAATAAACAATTCATAACTCACATAAAGAGGGACCGCTCTGGTGCTGACTTTCTCTGTGTTGTCGTCAGTATCCATTGGAGTCCTGCTGAAAAGACACCATTTAGAATTTAGTCTCATAAAAAGTTATTCTAACAATTTATTGGCAATGCCACAAATGGGAAAAGGCGTTTTTATCAGACAAAAAAGTGTTGTAAGAATGTTATTTCTTATTTCTTAATTCCCAGCACTTTGACTGTTTCATTTCAAACCAATAGAATTTGGATAAATTCCGCCAAAAAGATTTAGTCTCTCACCAGATTCATTAAAGGAAAATAGAAGGGTTGTTTTGCTGTTTTTCAACCTTTACTCACTTTCGGTGAATGTAACTTGAAACACGGCAAAAACAGTTATCTAAAAGGCTAAAGGCTAAATGCTAAATGCTGACAATAAACAATGTGTTGCTATGGTAACTCCTCACATTAAAAAAGTTAATTTCATATACAAAACAATGACCTAGACATAAAACACATAGATACAGAATAAGTCACAAAGATAAGATAAGAGAACTTTCAATGTTGCAGCGCACAGGACAGTTTTTCACTGAAATAAAAAAAAACATTATGAAACTGATCATCTTTGACTGAAATTTGCAGAAAAAAATATTCAAAATGTAAAAAAATGCTCAAAAATAAACATGATGAATATGTTAAAGGCAAATATGACATTTTGAAATTTTAATCACATTGAAATTTGTAAACTGAAATTTTAGTGACTGAAATGCAAAGACAAAAATATTCAAACATGCTTTTTCAGGGTTAAAAATTTCAAATGGAAAAATTCAGGCTCATTTCATATTCAAAAAATCTTCTATATACAGTCTGACAGCAGCAGGAAGGAAAAACCTGCGGAACCTCTCCTTCACACAGCGAGGAAATATATGAAAAAATGTAGTAATTACACTTTCACAAACAAAACCCGTCAAATCGACTGCTCTGGTGTCAAAGCTCAGGTGTTAAAATCCACTGAAAGTTGCATCAACACCACATTACTCACACACACACACACACACACAGCGTTGCGTGTCTACAGCACAACCGAGGTCCAAACACTTTCTCCTCAGGACACAAATATCCGTATCACGCTGTGTCCTTTTAGATCAGGTTCAAAGACTATAAGTGTAATAAATAGGACAGGAGCCACAGGCCTGGGTGTCTCTCTTTAATCCCATCCCCTCGGAGTCTGTGCGGCATTGAACGTGTAAAGTGATACAGATTTTGTGTTGTCAAACAGTTTTAGTCAGAAAGAACATCCCTCGGTCAGAATAATGTGGGTTAGGGTTGGGTTAGGGTTGGGTTAGGGTTGCCGCTCAAGTTTGCAGGTCAAAGCTTGTACAATGAGGAGAAGAAGAAAAAGAAGAAGGAGAAGGAGAAGAAGGAGAAGAAGAAGGAGAAGAAGGAGAAGAAGAAGAAGAAGAAGAATGAGAAGAAGAAGAAGAATGAGAAGAAGAAGAAGAGGAAGAAGAAGAAGGAGAAGAAGAAGAGGAAGGAGAAGAAGAAGAAGAAGAAGAAGAAGAAGAAGAAGAAGAGGAAGGAGAAGAAGGAGAAGAAGAAGAAGAAGAAGGAGAAGGAGATTTTGATTTTTAACAGACCTTTATTTGTCCATTAAACAGGTCAAATGACATCACATGTTACACATAGTAATGTATAGAACAAAGACAGTTTAAAAATCCGGACATGAAAGTGCAAAAAGTGCAAATACTGGCAATAAATAAACAATGCAACACATCACACACTTCAATTCATAGGTTTACAACGATAAAAAGGCAGAAAAAAACAGAAGGAGAAGGAGAAGAAGAAAAAGAAGGAGGAGGAGGAGAAGAAAGAGAAGGAGAAGGAGAAGAAGAAGAAGAAGAAGAAGAAGAAGAAGAAGAAGAAGAAGAAGAAGAAGAAGAAGAAGAAGAAGAAGAAGAAGAAGAAGAAGAAGAAGAAGAAGAAGAAGAAGAAGAAGAAGAAGAAGAAGAAGAAGAAGAAGAAGAAGAAGAAGAAGGAGGAGGAGGAGGAGAGGAGAAGAAGAAGAAGAAGAAGAAGAAGAAGAAGAGAAGAGAAGAAGAAGAAGAAGAAGAAGAAGAAGAAGAAGAAGAAGGAGGAGGAGGAGGAGGAGGAGAAGAAGAAGAAGAAGAAGGAGGAGGAGAAGGAGGAGGAGAAGAAGAAGGAGGAGGAGAAGGAGGAGGAGAAGGAGAAGGAGAAGAAGGAGGAGGAGAAGAAGGAGAAGAAGAAGGAGAAGGAGAAGAAGGAGAAGAAGAAGAAGAAGAAGGAGAAGAAGGAGAAGGAGAAGAAGGAGAAGAAGAAGGAGAAGAAGAAGAAGGAGAAGAAGAAGGAGAAGAAGGAGGAGAAGGAGAAGAAGGAGAAGAAGGAGAAGAAGGAGAAGAAGAAGAAGAAGAAGAAGGAGAAGGAGAAGGAGAAGAAGGAGAAGAAGAAGGAGAAGAAGAAGAAGAAGAAGAAGAAGGAGAAGAAGGAGGAGAAGGAGAAGAAGGAGAAGAAGAAGAAGAAGAAGAAGAAGGAGGAGAAGGAGAAGGAGGAGGAGAAGGAGGAGGAGAAGGAGAAGGAGAAGAAGGAGGAGGAGAAGGAGAAGGAGGAGGAGAAGGAGAAGAACCTTTATTCGTCCCACTATGGGGACATTTCAGTTTGACACATATACATCAAGGCAAGCAGCAAACACTTCCGCGCTCCTTATAGGCAAAGGATGTGCATATTTATGTGTGTGTGTGTGTATGTATATGTTTTGCCTGCGCTCTAAAGTGTTATTATTTAAACTATTATTTTTAGACTTTAAAACTGTCTCCAAACATCAATGAGCTCATTCTAATCACGCACATTAAACATTAGCTCCACAAACACATTTCTTGAAGTAAAAAAGCAGTCTTCCTAAGAATGTGAGACAGGCTTCTAATCTGACAATGTTAAAATCCAGGTTAAAAACAGTTCTGTATCGCTATGCATACACAACTGAAGGATTTCATCTTTACTCTTTTTAATGTATTGTGATTATTTATTATTTTATTATGTGTGATTTGTTCTAGCTTGGTTTGTTAAGTCCTTTGAGTTGCTTTGAGTGAACTGTGCTACACAATTAAACTTGCCTTGCCTTGTCAAACATACAAATAGCACTCATAAAATTAGTATTTGTTTACCTGCGATGGTGGCATTATTTATATTTTTTAAACCTGAGGCTGATCTGCTACAGTGCATGTTAAGATGTATTTTGAAATTCAGTAAAAAAAAATAACAATAAAAATTCAGTAGAAAAGTATTGCAAAAAATTCACGCAAAGTAAGACATTATTTCTAACATAGAATAATATAAAAATATGGGTTGAATTGTAAAAAAAAAAAGTCTCGCCATGTCTTTTCTCGCAGGATGTGTAATAACTATGGATCTATAACGCATGCACCTCGCTTTACCTGCTGCTGCTTCTCTTCTCCGCGTTGGGCTGTGAAATCTCGCGGCTCAGTCTCGTTACATTGACTCAAATCGCAGAAATATAACTTGTAAATAAGCGTAAAGTCTCCAGAGTGTCCGCAGAGTTCATGTCTCGGAGCAGCAGTAATAACTTGTGTCCTGATCCAGTCCCTCGTCCGTCTGCCACACTGGAGACACCGGCTGCGTCCGAATCCAAACACACGTACTTCCTTATTCATCTCCTTTGTTATTCTTTTCTCTCTTTGTCTGTCCTGCTTCTAATCATTGACCATTTCTTATCTAAATATGACATAAATCACCTGAAAAACAGTTAGAAGTTACAAAATGCGTTTATTTGGAATTTCCTTGTTGAGGCGATAAGGAAGGAGGTCTCTTGATTTTTAAATTTAGATGTAGCCCAGGAGCTGCAGGTGCCTCTGGTCCAACCCCTTTTTCTGTGAGCTACGTTTTGCGAGTTATACTAAAAGTTTGCAAGGCGTCTTACATATAAATGCATCCACCAATTAAATCATATTTACTAAGTTACATTTACTAAGTTGTGTGGACGTGATGTAGAAAGCGAAGAGTTTCCAGGGCTGTAAACGTGACAAAAAAACAAACAAAACTTTTCATGCTCGTTCATGCTTTAAGTGTAACCATAGACTGTAAATATCAGTGTAACATGTATAGACATTGCCCGGGGAAGTGAGTGATTGTTCCTTCTGCTAAAGCACTGAAGTACTTACTTACTAATGTTGCAGCGCCCTCCTGTGGACAACTCACGAAAGGGTGTTTGTGTATATTTTTTCATACCACACAACCGCGGTGAAGTTAGTTTGAAGTTGGATATCCGACAGACATTCGCCGCAACATTTCAGTGCACCCGTACTACACACAGTACGGTAAACACGCGGAGACATGTACGCTGGTCTAATATTTACATATAAAAAATCATTAAAAATACTTAAAACACTTTAATGATCAAAGAAGAGGTGTACCCCCTGCAGCTAGTGGAGGACTATGATCCTGACCTGATTTGGAGTCAATAGGTCACATGACCTGGAAGCTATTGAGCTAAAATGCTAATATTTCCATGTAAAAATTCATAAAAAATACTTAAAACATTTCAATGATTAGTAAGTAAGTAAGTAAGTTTTTATTTATATACCGCCTTTTCACTGCAGATCTGAGTCTCAAAGCGGTTTACAATTGTTAATTTTGGGCATTTGTCTCTCGCTCCACACAGAGATGGGAGCGGGGTCGCCAGTACAGGAGGCGCATGCCAGAACTATTGGACATATTTTTAGTGGTAGGGGAAACCGGAGTACCCGGAGGAAACCTACGCAGACACGGGGAGAACATGCAAACTCCACTCAGAAAGGCCCTGGTCCGACCGGGATTCGAACCCAGGACCTTCTTGTTGAGAGGCGAGAGTGCTATCCACTCAGCCACCGTGCCGCCCATTGATAAAAGAAGAGGTGTACCTCCTGCAGCTAGTGGAGGACTATGATCCTGACCTGATTTGGAGTCAATAGATCACATGACCTGGAAGCTATTGAGCTAAAATGCTAATATTTTCCTTTAAAATTCATTAAAAATACTTTTAAAAAACTTAAATGACTCAAAAAGAGGTGTACCCCCTACAGCTAGGGGAGGACTATGATCCTGTCCTGATTTCGAGTCAATTGATCACATGACCTGGAAGCTATTGAGCTAAAATGCTAATATTTACATATAAAAATTCATTAAAAATACTTTTAAAAAACTTAAATGACAAAAGAAGAGGTGTACCCCCTACAGCTAGGGGAGGAATATGATCCTGACTTTTAATACAGTACAGTTTTATTACATCGGTTTTAAATTTGTTGCATTGGCTTCCCGTGTGTTTCAGGATCAATTTTTAGGTTCTTTCACTGGTTTTTTTCATGTCTTCATGGTCTTGGGCCTTCTTATTACTCATAACTGCTTTTAGCCAAAGAACCATCCCGGTTCTTGCAGCAGACTCCTCCATTACCAAAGCCAGGACACACACTCAAGCTGAGGCATATGTAAGTTAGGGTGACCATACGTCCCGATTTACCCGGGACCAGGGCTGGACTGGCCATCGGGCGTACCGGGCAATGCCCGAAGGGCCGATGCCCATATTTGGGCCGGTCTGTCTGCCACATACAAAAAACATGTTTGTGAAAAGTGTAAATCCGTTGAGAAATGTTTGAGGGGAGCGCGCGTGTCCGCGGGGCTCCTGCTGTATGTACTCGAACGGGATTCCACCACCTCAGCGGCCGCAGTGTTCCGGCATCCAGCGGCTCTGAGCTGGACGCAGGAACCGCTCACAACACAACACGGTGAGCGCGTAGCCAAGACCATAAACGCGCACAGGACCATGCATGTCTTTTCGTAATTTGTGCACCCAATAAATACACCGCTGAAGAAAACAGTCCGCGTCTCCCCTCTCCTCTAAAATAAAGCTCGGGTACCTAAATTTTCCATCGCATTAAAAGTTCATCTTTGAGCCCAAAAGTAAAATGTTGTGAACAGATTAAACAGATTTAGAGCCAGCTAATGGCTGACAATATGCATTTCAGAATTTTTTTTACCAATTCTCATCCCTGTAACAAACAATATTGTCTGTGCCCACCTCCCTCACTCTGAGAAATGTTTATTACTCTGTTTAATGTAGACTATTGCACTTTATTTTTTTGTTGAAACTGCACATATCCTGATCCTCTACAGTATTTGCTTCCACATACTGTATAAACCAGGGGTCGGCAACCTTTAGTGCCCCTAAAGTGGCTCCTGGAGCCTTTTCAAAAATGTCTGAAAATGGAGTGTGAGGGCTATATTTTATTTCTAGTTTGAATGTGGTTTCTGGAGGAGGAAGAACATTCTTAACGTTTTTCAATGCTGCAAAAACTTGTATGGGTAATATTCAATTTTAACTGTGTGTGCGCATGGATCCCAAAGATAAAGAGAGTCGATAAGACTGCACTAAGAATGAGAATGAACATTTGCTTTTAGTCAATGAGGAAGGACTGCTTTATGTTTGCGATTTAATGAAAAGTTTTGTTGCAACAGGAGGAACAATGAAGCTTTAAACACCGTTCACTGAAAGATTCATTCATCATAAAGTCAGAGCACCTATTTTCAGACTTCAAAAACCTTCGCAAAGACGGTGAAAGAAAACGCCATTAAGGACATTCAGCTCCAGCAAACTTCAGCCTGTGATCGATATGAACAGACAGTGATGCAGGTGAACTCGGAGCCAAAAACAGATTTATTTACTATATTTGTACAATTGCAAGAAGGTTAAACTTAAAGCAGAGTTGTCACGTGGTGCGTCATTCTCTCCAGGACACGCTGCAGTGAAAATACACATTTGATAATCATGAATGGTTTTTATGTGTTTAGCCTTTACTTTGTCATTTAGATATTAGTCTAATATAGCTAATATAGCTTATGTAGCTAATACAGCTTCAGCCCCTGTACCTTCATATAAGCCTTATACAAAGCTGGTTTTCTTTTTGGTTTTTTTGTCAAATAGGGCTCCTTGAACCTTTTGAGTTGCCTGGGCCGCTAAAAAGGAAAAAATGCCCGGGCCGTTTTTTTGTCCCAGTCCAGCCCTGCCCGGGACTGTCCCGATTTTGAGCACTGCGTCCCGTGTCCCGGCGGATTTCACAAGCCCCATTGTTTTGTCCCACTTTTACGCACGCTCCGTCCCGGGTGTCCCGATTTTTTTAGCCATGCATATGCAATGGTAAAAAGCTAATACAGCGCACAGTGGCTGAATCTTGTTGCCAATCACACAGTTGCCATAGCAATTTATAATATGAACCAATTGAAAAGATGAACAGTCCTCCGCGTGTCTGTAGCTTGATTCTCATTGGTCCATGGCATTGACATTAGATGTTCACAACAAAACGCTATGGATCAACATTTCTTATGCTGAACATGCCTAAAAGAAAGTCGAGGTTAACCCAAGAGCTCCTGGAACAGTACCGTTTCCTCAGGAAAGTACCGGGTAATGAAAATGCTGCCTTTTGTACACTTTGTAAGTGCGAGTTTTAAGTCGCTCATGGCGGAAAAGCCGACGTGCAGAGCCACAGTAAAACTAGCAAACACAAGAGATGGGAACAGGCGGGAAGTAGCTCTGTTAGCCCATTTTTCGGGCAAGCTGCGGCTGGTGATGAAGAACTTAAACGTGCTGCTCAGGAGGCCACATTTGCCTATCACCTTGTGAGGCACAATCACAGCTTTCGTTCAATGGACTGTACAGCTGGGCTGACGCGGAAATTTTATGACCAACGTTTTACCTGTGCTCGCACCAAAGCGGAGGCAATTGTTACGAATGTGATAGCCCCACATGCTATGGAGTTGCTGCAGGAGGACACCGCGGATGTTTATTTCGTCTCCGTCGCAGCGGACACATCAAACCGCAAAGCAGTAAAACTTCTCCCTGTTGTAATCCGCTACTTTACATTGACTGAGGGCGTGAGCGTCAAGATACTCAATTTTGTGTCACTACCAGGTGAGACATCCACCCTCCTATTTAATGAAGTCGAGCGTAGCCTGTCAGCTTTTGGTCTGATGGATAAAGTGATTGGCTTTTGTGCGGACAACACAAACACAAATTTTGGAGGAAAGGCAAGAAGAGGACAAAACAATGTGTTTTACAAACTTGATCAAGCCACCCCCTGCAGTTTGATCGGAGTAGGCTGTGCAGCACACATTGTGCACAATGCAGTGCAATCAGCAGCAGACACACTTCCCTGTGACATAGAGAACTTTGTTGTCAAGGTATTTGGATACTTTCACATTTACACCGTCAGAACTGAGGAGCTGAAAGATTTCTGTAATTTTGTTGAGGTTGAGCATGCCACGCTTCTGGGGACTAGCAGAACACGCTGGCTTTCACTGGGGCCTGCTGTTGAGAGGGTCCTGAAGCTTTACCCAGCTCTTCAGTCCTACTTCAGGTCTCAAGATAAGGCTCCTAATTCTATTCTAAAGTTTCTTGAAGACCAAGTGTGCGAGGCATGGCTTTGGTTTATTCATAACCAACTGACACTTTTCAATGACACCATCAAACAACTGGAGAAGGAGAAGAGCTCTGCCATCCATTCTGCCCTGTACCTCTCCAGTCTTAAGGAAAAGCTTATGGAGAGGAAGGCTGCACTCTTCATGGGCTTAAAGGTGAGTTGTATGGATCATATAAAACTATAATAATACATACTTGTACACATTTGATAGCACTGTTATTTTTTTATTTGCATACAGTTGTATAAATTATAGTGTAAATAGTAGGGGTGTAACGGTTCAGCTATCTCACGGTTCAGAACAGTTCACGGTGCAGGACCCACGGTCCGGTGCATCACGGTGCTAGTGCGATATAATTGGCTAATAAATCAGTTTTGAAATAAAATAGCCTTAATGTTCATTATTAAAGGGCCCATATCACGGTTTTTGACTTTTCTCTGCTTTAAACATGATTACAATGCTATTTGGCCTTCATACACAAGCCCACAGTAGTTTATTCATTGATTCTGTCAATCTTTTGTAAGAGAGCAATCTGTCTCCTTCCCCAGCGTGAGGCACAGAAACGCTCGGGTCCACTTCAGTGACAAAAACCACACTGATGACGCGCATGACGCGCATGACCCCGTTTGCTTTGTATTTAAAATAGTTGTTAAATACTTTTGTCAAAACGGGGTAAACAATACACAATTAGTATGCTGTTTTTTGTCAAAAATAATAAAAATAAAAATAAATTAAAAGCCGGCGGGAGGTGATTGACGGATCAAAACAGCGAATCAGAGCGCACAGGCTCCGGCTCCCGAGTCCAGCGTCTGTGGCTTGGTCTCCGGACACCACATAGAGCTGCTGTTTTTATGCTTTTGTCAGCAACTAAAAGTGTTAGGATCACGTCAATTTGAATGAAGTGTGTTATGGGTGTAAATATGTGACACACTATTTGGCCCGAAGAGGAAGAAAGTGGCTCGACTTTTTTCATCTGTTCATCTCATGGATCTATTATAATACCGGTTCATCTGCGACACTTCACTGAGACTGTTCCAGAACTACAGAGACAATGGAACTGGACTTACTCAAAAGCTGATCTGGAAACACGTTATTCCCACGGTAAAAGACGTAACTCGGACCCCCTCGATCTGTAAGTAGTGACGCTAACTCGCTGTATACTTCTGTAAACTAAATAACTAGGCTCTGATTGTGCATCGAGGACATAGGGCTCGATGTGACGGATTGTCATTGTTGGAAAAAGTTTATTCTTATGTATGAAATTACTAAGTACAGGTGATTAACGACAAAAGCGTGATGCTACGTCACCGTGCGGGCGGGGGGAGGCGGGCTCACAGGCAGAGGAGCAGACTCTTCTCTGGATCAGCTCGTTTGAGTCGAGGTGACGTCACCTCTATACAAGAGATGGCTCTAATCTCACAAGCTTTGATTGTTGTGTGGTGTATCATACACATTAATATCACACATGTGTATAGGATTGAGTGTGAAACATGAAGAAAAGCGTGATATAGGACCTTTAAGCAGTTTTTGTAATTTCAGAAATACATTGAAAATGCTTTCTAATTTTTCAAAGCTGCTTTACAATAAAATGTGCCCTAGGGCTAAAAAAACACACACACACAAAAACCACAGTGCTCTAAAGTTAAAGAAAAAAGTGCACTGGATTTATACTTTACCGCAGCCTGGCCATCATCAGCAGGAGAAACGTTTGCAAAGGCACGCGGATTTCATTTGTAGCACGGTGCATTGTTACACCCCTAGTAAATAGTAAATAGCAATTTAACAGTTCATGGTTTTATTGATTGCATAATGAAATGTTTTTTGTTTTTTAATTTAGGTGAAAAGTCTTCTGGTTGGCTTCCAAGAGCGCCACCAAGTGGATGTGTTCAAGAAAGGCGTCCAGAACTTCTATGACTGCTACATCTCATACCTCCATACCTCCAGGAGTGGGGCTCTCCATTCACTGAGCTGAAGTGCCTCTCCTGGACACTGCTAGAGCATGTAACAAAAATTAAAGATTTATCCATTGATTAAAAAGGTCTGGATTTTTAAAAAGGTCACATTTGTAATTTAGTTAACATGTTTTTTTCATATGTTCTTACCATTAACAAGTTGATATTACCTGTCTGGACTGTGTCCGTGCGCTCTGCCATGCACATCGTAGCACAAACTCAGCCTCTCCACAGACTGTATAAGTGAAAACAAATCACTACCCGTTAGAAGTCATGTCTGGCACTAAAAGCCTTTTAGAAAAAAATAGCCGTCGCATTATTTTTTCAGTAAGGAATATCATCTCACTCCACCAGAAATAATCAATACCTACTCTGTCTGCGAGGGCCTGGAACTCACAACCTCTGTCCTGCGATGGCCTTGAACTCACTACCTCTGTCTGTGCGGGGCCCTGGAACTCACTACCTCTGTCTGTGCGGCCTGGAACTCACTAACCTCTTGTCTGTGTGGGCCTGGAACTCACTAACAATCTTTGACTGTGAGGCCTGGAACTCACTTAACCTCTTCTGTGAGGCCTTGAACTCACTAAATACCTCTGACTGTGCGGGAGAGTAGCTCACAGGAGAGTTTAAACGCAGCCTAAAAAACTGCTCAAAGAGAATCAAGTCTGTAGCCATAGTCCAATGTTACATAATTGGTGTGATGTATATTTATGTATGTATTGAATGTGTCTGTGTGATTAGAGAGTGTTGTAATTTTATCTGTATTTTAATTAGCCATTCATTCATTCTATTTATCAAATTCTTTGCACAGCTGTTAAACCTGCTGTCAACGTGTCCTCTCACTAAAACTGTTTAATCTGTTCACAACATGGAACTTTTAATGCAATGGGAAAATTTAGGTACCCGAGCTTTAACTTCGAGGAGAGGGGAAGCGCGACTGTTTTCTGCAGCGTGGTATTATATTGGGTGCACAAATTAACGAAAAGACATGCATATGGTCCTGTGCGCGTTTATGTCTTGGGTACATGGGCAACGTTGCCGCTACGCGCTCCCCGCCGTGGTTGTGTTGTGAGCGGCTCCCGTTGAGCGGTTCCTACTCTCCAGCTAAGAGAACCGCTGGATGCAGGAACACCTTGCGGCCGCTGAGGGTGGTGGTATCCCATTCGAGTACATACAGCAGGACCCCGCGACACACCGCGCTCCCCTCAACATTTCTTCACGGACTACACTTTTCACAAATCTGTTTTTTGTATGAGGCCCAGACAGACCGGCCCAATAATAGGCAACTGACATTCCGGGCATTGCCCAGTACGGCCCGATGTCCAGGTCCCAGCCCTGACTGTAAGAGTCTGTCTCGTGGTTTCACATGATGCAGCCTCAAGCTCTGTCTCCTACACTTGGTCCAAGAAAAATTTTGCCTCTGCTCTTCACAACCTGCTCTCCAGACAAAACCCGTTTTCAGGTTGTCCACAATGAATGTACAGTATAACAACTTTCCACCACTTTTCACAAACAAACGCTTTTCTCCTGTGTGGATCCACTGATGATCTTTGAGATGAACTCTCTTGTCTAAAAATCTACCACCAAAACGTCCCAGCTGAAGGGATTTTCTCAAGTGTGGATTCTGCTGTGGCGCCCAAGATGTACAGCATGAGAAAAACATGTTCCACACTGGATCACACTCGTAAGGTTTTTCTTCCAGTGTGGATTCATATTTTTTTTTGTGATTAAAAAGACATCCTCTCGTGAACAAACTGTTTCCACACTGACACATCATACGCGTCTCTCCGTGTGGCTCCGAAGGTGACGATGCGATCTGTGTATTCGAAAAGTTTTTACTGCAGAGTCACATGCAAATGGTTTTTCTCCAGTGTGGATTCTAGATAGTGCCGAGAGAGGTGAATAATTGTGTAAAAGTCTTTCACACAGGTCACATTGGTGAGGTACTCTCTCCTGTTTGGACACGCTGATGTAGTGAGAGCAGCTGTTTTCCCCTCCGAAAAAACTTTTCCACACTGTCAACTAACTCCAATGGTCTATCTCCCTTGGTGGGATCCTCTGATCGATCCTTGAGAGCAAACTCTCTCAAAAACTTTGATCACAAATGTCACAGCTGACCGGGTTTTTTTATTTTTTTTTTTATTTTCTCCGGTGTAATTCTGCTGTGGACCTTGAGACTTCCTTTTGTAGTAAAACTGTTCCACAATGATCACACTCGATGTTTTTCTCCAGTGTGAGTTCTGTAGTTGGATCTTAAGTTCGTAAGCAGATCTGCAGTCCTTTCCACACTGATCACAGGTGTCCCCCATTCTGTAGATGGACTTTGTTAGTTCTGCAAACAAACAACAAAGACATTGTAAGATAGTTTATAATATTTTTTACATTGCTGTGGTCAGCAATAATACAGCTATACAGGTGTCAACGGGGTTGACACCTGTATACTTCAACCCGGTAACAATTACCGTCCTAAAAATTTTCCAAAAAAAACGAATCTCAGAAACCCCGGACTGGTTGCGTGGTAATCCACTGAGTCTGCTGCTGAAAAAAATGTGAGACTAAAAATAATATTGCACTACCTGCTATTGATAACAACAATAGTAATTTACAAAAAAAAAGTAGATTAAATCCGCAAGCGGCAATCGAACTCCCTCGTCAAAATGTAGGTGGCGCCGCCGGCACGTCATATTTGCGTCCGTAAGCCGTAGAAACAATGTACGGAAAATTATAAAGAACATCATCATTGGTTGGCTCCCCAAGAAAAACTTTGCTCATTTTCAATGGGGTTGAGGTCAGGAACTGGCTAGGCACTCCAAGTACTTTCAAATGGCTTCTTACGGAGCCACACCTTCGTTGTCCCGGAGCGTGTGTTTGGATCAATGTCATCGGAAGAACCCAGCCACGTTTCATCTTCAAGCCTCTCAACTGATGGAAGGAAGACTATGGCATCAAAATCTCAGCATCGATACATGGCCCCATTCATCTTTCCTTAACACAGATCAGTTGTACCTGTCCCTTACAGAAAAACAGCCCTAAAAAAAAAAAAAAAAAAAAAAAGCTGCAAGCCCCAAAGCATATGTTTCCACCCCCATGCTCACAGTAGGTATGGTTGGTTCTTGGACTACTCAGTATTCTTCTTCCCTCCAAACACGGCAGCAACGAGTTGAATTATACCAAAACAGTTCTACTTGGTTTCATCTGACCACATGACCATTCTCCCAAGCCCTCTGCTGTATCATCCATGTCTCCCTGGGCAAACTTCAGACGGGTCTGGACCATCACTAGCCTTTCAAGCAGGGGACACGTCTGGCACTGCCAGATTTGATTCCCTGTCGTCGTAGGTGTTACTGATGGTAACCATTGTTACTTTGGTCCCAGCTCGTCTGCAGGTCATTCACCAGGTCCTCCCCGTGTGTTCTCCGGATTTTTGATCACCCGTTCTAATGATCATTTTGACCCACCCGGGATGAGATCTGCGTGGAGCCCCAATCGGGGAGATTATCCATGGTCCCTTCTGTGTCTTTCCAATTTCTGATAATTGCTCCCCACAGTTGATTTTGTCCGACAACAAGGGCCTGCTTGCCTATTGTAAGATTCACTCTTCCCAGTCCTGGTGCAAGGACTACAATTACCTTTTCCTGGTGTCCTTCGACAGATCTTTGGTCTTGAGGCCCAAGATACAGTCTGCCATAGATTTTTCCTGTTTGAAAGTGACCAAATACTTATTTTCCACCCATCAATTTAAAAAAAAATTCTTAAAAATCCTACAATGGGAATTCCTGGTTTATTTTTTCTTTTTCGCTAATGTGTAGCTAATGATGAAAATTACAAGACCTCATAATTAAGTTGGAGAACTTGCAACAATCGGTGGCTGACTAAATACTTTTTTGCCCCACGTATAATCTGTGTCATGTGTTCATTTATAAACAGTCTCCATTGGATGACCATGTGACTAATACATTTTTTTTTTTATGAACAACTATTGATGGTAACCTTTTGTAGAGATGAAGTGGAGCGAAATTTAGCAAAACGGTGAAACGGCCCAAGTCTGGTTTATGTTAGGTGAGGTGTACATTTCCCATGGGGAAAAAATGGGAGAGTTAGACCGACGCCACGGCAAACAGGCAATAAGTCTTGATTGTCATTGACTTTTTGAATCAAAGGGCAAAACTGAATTATGTAAAATTTTCAAACCTTTTGAAAAACTAAATTTACTGTCCCCAGTAAAATCTTTGACATACTCTGTGGGGGGCGTAATAGGGCGAATTATTAAAATATTCCACTTTCCACAAGGGAAAAACAACTTTGACCCTGGAGTTGAACAATGCATAAATGTTTGTGCAAAATCAGACTTTTGCAAACGGGAGAAACTTTGCCATTGTCCAAAAATGGCAAAAGAAATGTAACTTTTTGCCCGCTACTCCGCTACTCGCTGCTCAAACAATGTTTCACTGATCAAAATTCCCTAGGTCATTATGAAGGTACATGTGTTGAGATGATGTGAGCGATTTTGAAGCAAATCTTTGAAACGGCGCGGAGGAGTCTTTTCCAACCGACAAGTAAAAATCATCGCTTCATATTTTGCAAGTCCAATTAAATTTCATGGGTTTCCGGTTTTGTCAGAGGGCGTGACCATAATAACCATGTTGTTGGTTGAAGGAACAGTAATTTTGTGCCGTAGCAACAAATCTGCTGCGCTACTTATTCTTCAAAAGGACGATATCCAAATGCACTGCCATGGCTATGAGCTTTTTGTAATGAAATAACAAAAATAAAGACAGTTAGTGAAGCCTTAAGACAAAATGTTTTTTTTCCTTTTTCAGAATTTCTATGGCATGTCAATGGCAATAAGGACCAGCAGTGTTTCAGAATGAGAAGTCGTCAGCCAAGTTCTGAAACTATGAACTCAAATCAAGTGGATGATGGAATCCTTGCATTTTTCTTTTAATTATGACATTAATCTGTAAGTTTATCTTTGGACATCCATGAATGTTTTTATTTTCTATATAATCAAGTTTCTAAT